AGAGAGAGAGAGAGAGAGAGAGAGAGAGAGAGATAGCGATGCCGGGGGTACGGAAATGCAGCTACGAATGAATGAATGGATAAAATCAGGAAGATCCCCCGTGCCCCCGCGCCGGCCCCGGTTACATCGTGCCCGACGCGACCATCGAACGAGACACGCTGCTGCTCCCCGCCGTTCTCTCTCGCGGCATAGCCGGTGGATAATGCCGCCTCGCAACACGAGATTAGTTCCGCAGAGCTGGCCGGCCGACCGACGAGCAGCCTTGAACCAAATTACGGGCTGCCGTTGTTTAGCTGTTTAGCCGGCGTATGCTGTGGAGAAATCCCGGCCGGGAGCACCTAAAGCGACGCCGCGGGCAAAGCGAGCGCGGGTCCCATCGAGATCTCGCTTTCCACTCCTTTAATCGCGGTCCCCGAGATTTCGGCGCCGGGATTATTTTTAGGCGGCCGGTAATCGGTCGAATACCTTCCACACTCAGTCCATTGTATTATACGTCGAATGCACGTCGTTAAAATGAAGATTTTTCGGCCGTATAGTTATTTCGCGCCGCCTCGTCGCCGCCGAGGAGGTCTTGGCGGCGATACTTTTTGAAAAAAAATCTCATCTCGCGTTTCCTATCGCCTGACACTACGCGAATGTATGTCCACACACTGTGTCGAGACAGGACGGTATTGTGAGTGCAGCCTTGGATTTACAGGCACGACTGCAACAATAGTTGAATAGAGCGCATTGGCACGCCAGAAACCGCAAACCTCGGCAAACCGCGCGACCGAGCTGATATTCTGTAAACCGAAGTGAAAAAGCAACCAAGTGGCGGAATTAGCATATCGACGAATGGAGTTACCTGAGCTCTCGCACGAGGGTAATATTTTACGCGGCATACAGCGCGAAAAAAGATGGTAAATATCTTTGAGTGGTATTATCCGACGGGATCGCTTTACACACTTGAATCTTAAATTTTATCGGTTTCCGAGCGGATTTATTATACAGGGTGATTCAGAACAACCCAGGTGTCCTTGCACAGACGTATTCCTGAGTTAATTCTGAGACGATTTTTCCTTTACAAAAATTTTGTCCGCGGCTTATTTTTCAAGTTATAAAAGAAAAAAGTTATCAAATCACGGGACGAATACAGAAGATAGGCAGGAGCGGCGCAACTGGGCGCAACTCCATTCGACACGGGTGATTACGGGACGCACGTTGCGATCAAACACACGTGATGAAACACGCGCCCCACACACACACACACACGCACACACAACTCTCTCTCTCTCTCTCTCTCTCTCTCTCTCTCGCTCGCTCACTTTTACAAATTCGACGTCTTCATTCTGTTTGACGGATGAATAATTTTACCGGGGATAAGCAATAAAAATTTACACAGCACTTGACATGCAACAAATCCATACCGAGATTTATAAGACATACATTTTTTTTTCGTATCACGTATCGAATTTACTCACGTAAATGAATAATTTATAAATCGATTTATTACTATTAATCACTGCGATATTATCGATATTATCGATCGGTCCGTCAGCTGTAACACACAGCATCAGCGGCGAAAAGCACAGGCGTAACAATACTTTTCAATAAAAACATAATCTGGTTCATTGTTTACATCGAGTACTGTCTCCGCATCGAGCTACGTGCGTTGTGTAAACGTTAGGCGTATCCTTCGAATAATTTTTAGTCACCGAATAATTAATCGGTAGTAATAACAAACCGATAGATTCGTGTGTGAGTGTGTGTAAATCTGTGAAAGTATTGATTACTGTAATTGCATGTAGTGTGTACTTTTTTCTTAATAAAAGTAAGCGGAATATGATTATTCGGCAGTGATTAATAGTAATGAATCGATTTATAAATTATTCATTTACGTGAGTAAATTCGATACGTGATACGAAAAAAAATGTATGTCTTATAAATCTCGGTATGGATTTGTTGCATGTCAAGTGCTGTGTAAATTTTTATTGCTTATCCCCGGTAAAATTATTCATCCGTCAAACAGAATGAAGACGTCGAATTTGTAAAAGTAAGTGATCGAGCGAGAGAGAGAGAGAGAGAGAGAGAGAGAGAGAGAGAGAGAGAGAGTAGTGTGTGTGTGCGTGTGTGTGTGTGTGTGTGTGTGTGTGTGTGTGTGTGTGTGTGTGTGTGTGTGTGTGTGTGTTTCATCACGTGTGTTTGATCGCAACGTGCGTCCCGTAATCACCCGTGTCGAATGGAGTTGCGCCCAGTTGCGCCGCTCCTGCCTATCTTCTGTATTCGTTCCGTGATTTGATAACTTTTTTCTTTTATAACTTGAAAAATAAGCCGCGGACAAAATTTTTGTAAAGGAAAAATCGTCTCAGAATTAACTCAGGAATACGTATGTGCAAGGACACCTGGATTGTTCTGAATCACCCTGTATACTACACCTATCCAGCATATTTGCCATTAAACATAGTTGCCGACGATTATCATTTTCATTATATACCGCCATTGTTATCATCGTCATCGTTATCATGATCATTATCATTATCGTCGTCATCATAATCGTCAGCATCACGATCACCATAATCATCATCATCATAACTATCCTTGTCATTTCCATCCGATGCTTAGTGACTAACATCATAGCGTGACAAGGCACGTTCACACAGCCTTGACAGTCGACCCGAACATTCCCCAGACTCGACGACTATCAAAGTAGAAGCACGAAACCTAAATAGCTAAACAATTTCGTCGATTTTTTTGCAGAATTGCAGAATCAATCTGAAATATAAGAAAAATGTTTTTGCGCGATGTGTAGTCCCCGACTACTTTATTTATGCAACTCGCAACTATCATAATAAATGATGAGAATTTATAATACTTTAAGAGTAGAAAATATCATACAAACGTAGTATGAGATAATGGTCTTGGTTAGCTCACTATTTTTAGATGAGCATCTTCAAGGCTACCTTTACACTTTTTGTCTTCCGCGAGAGAATTTCCAGTTGCAAGAAGTGTGATATAAAAATCGGCATGACGATTAATTAAATAATGTCGAACTTTGTGTGAAAATAAAATAGAGTGCTGTAAGAATCTCATTACATTTTAACTTTTTAAGTATATTTACATATACTTATTATATGCGCGAGTCAATGCTATTTTATTATAAATTGGTACTCAAAAGATAGTCAAAGGATTGTGGAGAAAGAATACCAGAGGCATAGAAACCCGGAAAGCGTGTAAAATTGTAAATGGCCATTATACATGTGGAATAAACGTCGAATTCCGTAAAGAATCGTATTCCGGAAGTTTCGGAAAAAGAAGAACGCATTACAAATGCGAAAGATGTATAAGTGGCTTGCCAACAGCATTCCTAAATATCTGCGCACTCGAAATATCGCCAGAAAAGATTGTTTTCAATAAATTGTCTGCTATTAAAATTCATGAGTAATTTTGCAAAAGGAGGTTTTCCACAACAGAACAACGGGATTTTGCAACTAAAATTGATATCCGCAAGAATTAAACATTATTTAACAGCAAAACATTATTAAATTTGTTTTTGTAACTGAATTATTCGACAATCGTTTCAACAGTTTGTTGCGTATTTCGCAAATAAATGTGTTTATAAAGAATGATTCGAATATAAAATGCGTGCGATTGAAAATAATGAATACTATTAGCTAATCAAATAAAATTGATTTTTTTTTTTCAGGGAAACAAGGTAAAGACGGACCAGAGGAAAAGAAAGATGCCGACGGCGAGCTTTGGGGCAACGTGGAAGCGCAGGCCGCCTTCCTCGGTCCTAATCTCTGGGACAAAACTCTGCCCTACGATGCCGACCTGAAGGTATTAAACCATGTATGTACAAAAGCGCGATACGGTAAGCCCTCAATTTGGCTGAATTTAATCCCAAAATTCCATGAACGAAAATCGGGATTCAAGTTAATCGTGTGTCTTGTCTTTTTGACTCCATCTACTAATTATTTATTATTTAATAAATATAGTCTTTTTATATGTTTTTTTTTTTAATCTACATTTATTGCAGTAACTTGACATATCATTTGAGATTTTTTAAATAAGTTAAGATTATATATATATATTTGAGGGAATCTTTGAACTTTTACTCCGAACACCATCGATTTAGAAATATATTACATGAAGCTCATACATATCCCGGAAATTGTTGTGCATATATGCTATGTAATAGAATGGAAAATCAATGTAGCGGACCATTGCATCGCCCTGTTGTAACACTTACTCCGTTATAATTCGCCTTCCTGAATCGAGAAATCGGGAAGCCGAATATTAAGCCGCTATGCAATCGCGACGATAGCGGCCACTTTCTCCGTTATGCTTCGGCGGAATCGAGGAAGTTTTGGTTATTCTTTTCTATTCCTGTTATTATTTTTAGCACAACCATCTAAATAACTTGTCGAAGAACTATGTTTTTTTTTTTAAATGACTCTTTACAATGTAAAATGTGCCGATTTAAAAAAAAAAGATACTTTATGATCAAATTTTATGTAACACGCAATACATATTGTTTAGCTGCTTATGTTAAAAATTAGTTTTAAACATCTCATCGCTTTACCCGGAAGTATAAATAAGCTCTGTGTGAATTTAACAAAGCTCCGAGAAACCATTTCGGAAATTAATCGCGAATCTTTGTTATATAGTACGTCGATCTCGATGAATTTCTATCCGAAAATGGCATCCCCGTCGACGGAGTGGCCGGTGGCGGACAGGGCACCATGCAAAGTAGCCAGCTTCATAAAATCAACAACACCGAAGCCGCCGGACATCAGGGACCAGCGGGTCTTCACCTAGAACCAGTTACCAAGCGCGAGAGATCACCATCGCCGAGCGAATGTTGTTCGCCGGACACCCTGAACCCACCCTCTCCCGCGGACTCCAGTTAGTAAAACCGAAATTCTCTCACTCTCACACTTTTATTTCTCGTCGTAGCCGTCGTTCACGATGTTTGAGATCCTGAGAAGTGTTTTACGCAAGTAAAACTTTTATTTATTATC